CATCAAAAACTTTGTTTTCGACCACCGTAAAACAGGAAGAAGAAGAAAATGTCATTCTTCTAATGTAGAAACTTCTTTGTTATTGATCGGTAAAGCTGTTTCAGTAACCGAAGAGGCCTCCGGTGCACAGAACTGCACAATAGGTGGTTGGCGCTGACAAGCAGTAATACACACGGTGTGTTTGGCAACCCCCCATATGGGAGTCCAGGGCCGTAACATCCATTGTCTCTAACGTTAGCTTAAAAGACTTCCGGCATCAAAAGCAGTAGGCGTCGCGGTCATTTCCTGGCACAGGCTTAACCCAAACTCAATTTGGATTCCTTGGCCACAGCGACACTTTCCCATTTTAGCCGACAAACTGGGCTAGTGACTATCTTGTTCTGTACCTCACCTCAAGTAACCATATGACGGGTGCGCACACTTTCGCGATTTCTGCTATGACATGGAGGTAGAGGTGCACTCAACGTTACGCTGCATTAATTTTAAAATAGCCTACATTAGTAACAGTTCATTTTGTTACGGTCTGAACTTAATCCTAGGAAAGGCAAAAAAAATGCATAAAATTAAGACCTTTGTAATAAAATTCAAGACGTTGTATACCAAATTCAAGGCTATAACGCCTTAATTTGAGTTTATCAAATTTAAGACTTTTTCAATGCTTTTAAGACCCCGCCGGTACTCTGGACATGGACCTTCAGCATGCAGTGGGACAGTTTGCTGCTGAGTGTGACGTGGCAGAGAAAGAAACAGCACCTCTAAGTCAGAAACCATAATGCTTGAATGGAAAACAGTGGCCACCTCCACTTTGGCAGAGAGTCCTTACCCCAAATAGAGTATCTGATTTTTTTTGCCATGAGGAATGTAATATGAGATTAAAAGATGGATCAGTGCAGCGGCAGCAGTAATAATAATAATAATTCCTGATTGAAAAAATAACATTTCTGGGCACTCAAAGCGCTTTACACAATGGGGGGGATCTCCTCCACCACTTCATCCACCTGGATGACGCGACAGCAGCCATTTTGCACCAGCCCGCACACCACACACCAGCTGATTGGTGGAGAGGAGACAGAGATGAAGCAAATTGAATTGGATGGTTAGGAGCCCATGATGGACAGGAAGCCAGGGTTAAACCCTAACATCCCTAAACATCCTAACGACCACACACGGGACCTCGGTTTAACATCTCATCCGAAAGACGGTGCTCACTGAGCAGTATAGCATCCTCGTCACTATACTGGGGCATTAAGACCCACACAGACCGCAGGTTGGGTGCCCCCTGCTGGCCTCACTAACACCACTTAGCAGCAACCTAGCTTTCCCATGTGGTCTCCCATCCAGGTACTGACCAGGCGCAGTGCTTCAGTGGGCAGCCATGTGAGAGTTGCAGAGAGCTAGCTGCCGGCTGGTAATGGAGTTGATGTGATTGTCTGTTGTGGTGAAGGAGCTGAGACGAAAGGTAATCTAAGTACCTACTGTCACCCATGGTCATGACTGAAAGGACAAGATCTCGGATACAACCGGACACATTTTACAAAGTGTTATGACCCGCTTGTTTGAGTCGCAGCACAAAAGAGAGATGAGCCAACAAAATAACCTGAATGCAAATGATTTATTATAAAATGTAACTCATAGAACAATCAATCAATGCAACCAACAAATGTCTAGGGATACTAATGAAGATAAAGAACTTAGGATATAATCACAACAACATTTTAATTACATGATATGAAGTAATGCAAAACAAAACCATAATGTGAAAGAGTCAATGAGATGGCAGGTCTTGACATGAGGACTCCTGAGTAGCCACAGCGTCCTGAGGTAGCTAGCACAACAACTTTTATATAGCCATTGATGAGCAATGCAGGCATCCAATCACGATTTACCAAATACTCCAATCTGGATTTCTCATTCAGGGAGTCAAACAGAGAACATCATCCAACACAACACTAGCTACATGAACACACTAGTGAACACACTAGAGTGGAGTAGACGAGATTTCAAGCTACAGAGGTGCTGTTTGCCAGATGTTTATGAAACTGTTCTTCTCTCGGCCGCCATCAATGTGTTTACATAAATGCAAGGAGCGCGGCACATTTACAATTACAATTACAATCCCCATCTACTGCAGTGTAGGAGTGTTGGAAAACCTATTATACTGTATTATACTGTTATTTATAGCCTATTCAAACATTATTTAGACATGAAACATCTTGTGCACATGAGAAAATGTTTTGCTGCATTCATGTCATGTGTGCAACTTTTTGTCCATGTGTTTCTTAAGCTGCGCCGAATGAGAGAAACTCTGTAGACACTGATCAGATCTGTACGGTTTCTCTCCAGTGTGAATCCTCTTTTGTGTTTTGAGATGCATTAACTGATTAAACCTCGTCACAGTTTGAACACTTGTACGGTCTCTCCAGTGTGAATCATCTGGTGCAGTTTTTGGAGCTGTAATAAAAGTCTTCTCACACTCAAAGCACATATACTCTTTCACACCAGTGTGGATCTTCATGTGTTCATTAAGGTTTGGTGATTGGTTAAAACTCTTCCCACACTGAGTAGACGTGAATGGTTTCCCTCCAGTGTGGGTCTTCATGTGTTTAATAAAGGTCTGAGGAGCTGCTGAAACTCATCCCACATCGAAGCTGCAGTCACACTAGAATTTGAGCATGCAAAATTCTGTTGTACAGCGCTGTGAAAAGGAGCCGGAAAAGGAGTAGGGCTGTAACGATACACGATATAAAATTGAAATCGCGACACTCAGATCTACGATCCTGTGTCGCGGTGTGATAAGGGAGAATTGCGACACACCCCGTGATACCTTTCCAATAACGTCACGCGTGCCTGCAAAAGTTGAGCTAATTAACACTTTTTTTCGTTCGACATCACAAGCACTGCTCCGTTTAAGCCCTCGCAATATTTAGCCGGGAGAGCTCGCATGGAGCTCTTAGTAAGGGACCGTCTGAATGTGTCAGGAATATCAAAAACAAAACCAACTTAACCCCGCTTGACAACCGACAACGCCAGAAACATTGCCAATGCTGTCAAAGCGGCTGGATTTTCACCGCATATACGATGATTTGCTCACACTGTTAATGTGGCTGCGCAGAGAGGGATGGGCGTTCACCAAATGTCAGGTAACAGCGCAAACTTTTCTGTATCCGTGCTGTGCGATTTCTGTTTGAACCTTTGAGAGTGCTGACTGACAGGTGCGCGATGTGTGAGGTCAGAAAACACGACGAAGCTTTCAGTTAAGATGAACACAGTTTCTATAGTTATACTTTATTTAGAGATAAAGGTATATGGCTCTGCATATAATCACTCTATCTTGCTGGAGTTTATAGTCGTTTCGATTTACTTCAGGACGCATTAACGCCGCTCTGAAGGTCTAATCGCTGTTTTAAGTTATCTAGAGCTGTATGAATGTACAAATCTTGAATATCACAATATTATTAAATATTACTATTGTAACAACACAGACAGCAACACTTTTGCACAATCGATACCCAGCTGATTCAGTCGTTTCATAAGAGGACCGTGCCTCTTCTTTTTTCCTTGTCAACATAAAGGCAGTGAGGTGCGCCTCGTTTTCGCCCCTTGTTTAACTGCAAGGCATACTTATTTTGCGGGACCATAACGTGTAACCCGTGACTACAGACACATTTGCCAAAGCAGCAAAATGGAAGAAGAATATTGCTGTTTGATACAGACCTGTTGATGCTTAATCAGCGCTTATGTTGACCTGGATATGCGTAATAAACGCAACAAATAGGCTTTACTTTTTATTTTACAGCTTTTAAAGCATGTACGCAGATTAATGCAATATCATATTTAAACAACAAAACTGTTTACAAAAAGTCTACATATGCGCGCATTGTTGCTGTCTTTTCATCACGCAGCGCGCGCACTTGAACCGCGAGGGAGAGAGAGGAAAGCATAGGCTATATCAGAACATAATCTTTAAAATAATGATTTCTATTAAAATGTAAAAGGTTTTGTGATTATAATAATAACAGCGGAGCTTTAAATAAATGCATATTTTCCGTAAAGCGGGCAATTTGAGGAAGTCAGCTATTTTTCTTTGACGGAAGAAAAAAACATATGATGTGAAAAAAAAAGCCTATGCCGGTTATTAAAAAGAATCAGTCAGTATTGTCGTTTTGTAATATAAATGAATTATTTCAGTGAAAATAATTTAGGGCAGTCCTATTTATTTTATTTACATTATTCTGCTCTTCTGTGCTAAACACTGCAGGTGCGTGGAAATGCTCTGTTGTTCTGTTCCGCTATTAATATTCTAACATATAAAAATAAATCAGTATTTTAAAATGCAATATTTAATGTGTCAGACAAAAAATAGACACGTCAATTTGTTTAATATAAAATTAACAGTAATCTGACCAGTTAACTGGTAATAACCGATTAATGTTGTCGGTTAGCAAAATTAACAAAATGAGCATCCCTAGTAGCTATTTAATTTACTTTTTCTATGTAAGAGAACTTGATTGAAAAAGAATTGTCAACATGCTTGAACCATCTACAAAATGGAGTTTAGTTCTGTTTGGTTTTTCAACAGTATTTTGTTACAAAGAAAACAGAAGTGATATAGCTTTGGCTATTTATTTATTTTATATATGGCTATTTATATTGTTAATAATTTGCATAGTTAATATTGTTCTTTGATGTTTAGTTTATAAAGATTTGTCAAATGTTATTTAATAAAAAATAGTTTTAAAAATCTTTTTTTTCCCCACCCCACACGAAAAAAAAAAAAAAATCGTGATACGAACCGAATCGTGGGTCAAAAATCGTGATACGAACCGAATCGTGGGTTTGGTGTATCGTTACAGCCCTAGTCCAGAGAGGTCATGTTTTGATCTTCGATAGGTCTCACACAGTCAAGTTATGCAATTTTGCAGGTCAGAATTCACCAAGCTTGAACTCTGCAAGGCAATGAACTGCGAAACTTGAGGCACGAACTTGCATTTCCGGTCTGACGCATTCACGTGCGTCTGAATGGAAGTCTATAGCGAGAAAAGTCCAGTGTGACCACAGGATCCTCATGTGTCGACTAAGGGAGAATGAGCAGTAAAAACGCTTCCTACACTGAGTGCATTTGAATGGTTTTTCTTCATGTGTTGATTAAGGTGTGATGAGCGGGTAAAACTCTTCCCACACCGAGTGCATGTGAATGGTCTATCATCAGTGTGGATCCTCATGTGGTAATTAAGGGATGATGATAGGCTGAAACTCTTCCCACACTGAGTGCATGCGAATGGTTTCTCTCCAGTGTGGATCCTCATGTGTTGATTAAGGTGTGATGATTGGATAAAACTTCTGCCACACTGACTGCATGTGAATGGTTTCTCTCCAGTGTGTATCCTCATGTGTAGATTAAGGTATGATGACCGGATAAAACTCTTCCCACACTGAGTGCATGTGAATGGTCTCTCTTCAGTGTGGATCTTCATGTGGTAATTAAGGGATGTTGATAGGCTGAAACTCTTCCCACACTGAGTGCATGCGAATGGTTTCTCTCCAGTGTGGATCCTCATGTGTTGATTAAGGAAGAATGAGCGGTAAAAACTCTTCCCACACTGAGTGCATGTGAATGGCCTCTCTCCAGTGTGGATCCTCACGTGTTGATTAAGAGATGATGATTGGCTGAAACTCTTCCCACACTGAGTGCAAGTAAATGGTTTCTCTCCAGTGTGGATCATCATGTGTTGATTAAGGTGTGATGAGCAGGTAAAACTCTTCCCACACTGAGTGCATGCAAATGGTTTCTCTCCAGTGTGGATCCTCATGTGTCGATTAAGGGAGAATGAGCAGTAAAAACTCTTCCTACACTGAGTGCATGTGAATGGTTTCTCTCCAGTGTGGATCATCATGTGTTGATTAAGGTGTGATGAGCAGTTAAAACTCTTCCCACACTGAGTGCATGCAAATGGTTTCTCTCCAGTGTGGATCCTCATGTGTCGATTAAGGTGTGATGAGCAGTCAAAACTCTTCCCACACTGAGTGCATGTGAATGGTTTCTCTCCAGTGTGGATCATCATGTGAATCTTAAGTTTGCTTTTGTTTGCCAAACTCTTTCCACACTGAGTACAGGTGAAACGATTCTTGTTTCTCCTTTTCAAAAAAATATTTTTTTCCTCAGTTTTGACATGATGTTTCTCCTCTTTACTCCCCTCATTTTCTTCAATGCGGTCTGAAAGAAATAAATAAAACATTAGTTTTTTATTAAGTCTTAAAAACTCATCAAAAGCTGAAAAGTGAAAAGACATCACACACCTTTTCACGTACGTTTTTACAGATGTCCACATTGCAGGGCAGAAAGCAATGAGATGTATTCTTTGGCAAGTTTTGTAAATACCCAAGTGTCCACTTAATGGATGTGCGTGGTAGTGTTGGAGGAGATTTGGGATAAGGGTGGCATGTATATATATATATATATATATATATATATATATATATATATATATATATATATATATATATATATATATATATTTATATTCTGTAGTGTTTGAGTTTATCTTTCAACAGGAAACAATGATATAACTTGTCATAAAATAACCCAAACTGCTCATGCATAGTAGAATCTTTATCTACTAGGTTCTGCAATATCTTGATTATATCTGGTTCTTTGTGTTGCTCTTCCCAGATTTCTGCAATGGTGATGGGAAATACTAGTTCTTTTATAGCTGAATACACGACAACCAGGAAAGGGATGAATGCAAGATAAAAGCACCTGGTGCTTCATTCAGTGTTCCCTTTCTGTACTCAACCACAAAGTCAAATTTTTGAAGACGAAGGGGCCAGCGGATTAAACGTGAGGTGGTCTTCGTGGAGTTCATGACCCACTGAAGAGTGGAATGATCAGTGACAATAATGAAGAGTTTTGGCTCCAGGAAATGTCTCCACTTTTCGATAGCCTCTAGCAGGGGTTTTCAAACTTTTAGGACACACGCCCCCCCAAGTTTGGCCAATTTCACTCGCGCCCCCTCCCTTTTTGTCCAGCGAGCCAAAATTATAAAGCATGTGCAAACATCACTCCCATATTATTTGCTGCGTTTAAAGTGCATATAATAATTACACTGAATCATAAACATGTAGCTTACCTGATTCAGTGTGATACATGAGTCTGTTTTTGATGTACGTACACACAGAAAATGCTGCTTCGCAGAGCCAAGTTGAAGCAAAAGGCAAGAGTACATCAATTTCAAGTTCCGAAAGTTCAGCATATTCTGTATCCACTGCCAGCCAGAATTCTGAGTGTGGTTGAGTCGAACAGTGTCTTCAAAGTACGGTCACTTGAAAGGTGCAGAAGGGCATCCAGCGCTTTGTAAACTTGGTTCCAATTATGCTGCTCAGAAAAATACCTATTGAAATGTGCAGACAGAGATGGCAGATGTAGAGTGATTTCCGTTTTAGTAGTATCTCGGTTAAACACATTTTCTTTGTTAAATTCATCCAAGGTCAGGAACATTTCTAGATTTTCTTGCATCCACCTGCCCTCTCCATCGCTCCAGTTTCTTCACAAAGCCCACAATTTCATCAGACATTGTTAGTAGGTTTGAACACAGGCCTTGAAGGGACAAATTAAGCGAATTAAGCCAATCAAATATGTCAGACAGGTATGTACAATCTGTGAGCCACTTAGTGTCAGTAAAACGACTCCTAAAGGAAGATCCACAATCAATTAGAAAAATCCTCAGTTCGTCATGCAATGAAAAAATACGCTGCAGGATTTTGCCTGTGGAGAGCCATCTAACCTCCTTGTGTTGACTGGTCATCGTTTGTTTTTGTCCTCTTAATGCTAATTCTTTACATCGAAAAAAGTTGACTGGCTTATCTTTTGACATTGGATGTTTCATCTGAAAGTGACGCACCAGTTTCACAGGTTTTAAACAGTCATTTGCAAGGACCTCTGAACACACAACACATTGTGGACATGGTTCGTTATTAATCGTATTGTATGTACTGTTTATCATACTTCCGTTGCTTTGATGCACACAGGCCTTTGGTTTTTGCAGTGAACGTTAATCCTCTCTGTGTGGAGATCCCCGTTGATGCGGAGGGTTGGTCATCTGTTTGCTTTAATGCTTCAGAAGGGCACTCGTCATTTTTTTTGTCAGACAATTTACCGGTGTTATCTTCACCGTCATTCATTTTGAAAAGCCACAGGTCCATTTTTTGTATATGTTTTACGCGATCGCATTAACTACAAAAGGTGCCTCGTGCTTGTTAGTTAGCTCCGGGACTAATCAGATTGACTCTTGTAAACATAAAAAAACATCATATTTACTCGAGTGCACACCTCAGTTTCTCACTCCCCCCTTAACAGGCGCTGGCGCCCCACAGTTTGAAAACCCCTGGCCTATAGTATGGCTAAACATTCCTTCCCTGTAGCTGAGTAATTAACCTTCAGTTTGGTCAGTGTTCGACTTCCATAGACAATAAATTCCTCCTGTCCTTGCGCCTTGTGTTGTGTCAACACTGCACCTACTCCTGAATCACTGGCATCGGTCGAAACCACAAAGGGGAGTCGGAGATCAGGATGTCAAAGGATGGGAGGCGAGGTGAGACAAGTCTTTAATTTCTTCAATGCTTTTTGACATTGAGGTGTCCATTGAAAAATTTGCCCTTTTTTCTTCAATAAGTTCATAGGCTCTGCAATTTGAGAAAAGTTTGGCACGAACATATGGTACCACCCTGCCAATCCAAGGAATCTTTTAACGTCTTTGATGTTTTTTGAAACCGGGTAGGATTTTATCGCTTCTACTTTTATGGAATCAGCAGGAATGGCCAGGGTGTTCACCACATGTCCCAGAAATGATAATTTATGTTGGCAGAATTTACTTTTCTTCAGGTTAATGATCAGACCAGCTTTGTGTAACCAGGTGATGACACTTTGAAGATCTTTAAAGTGTTGGGTGACTGAGGGCGAGTATATGATGATGTCATCAATATACATAAAACACATTTTTCCCCGCAACTCTCCTAGGACAGACTCCATTAATTGCTGGAATGTTGCTGGGTCATTTTAAAGTCCAAAGAGCATAACTTTAAAGTGGTATAGGCCCAAGAGGGATGGATTGGATTCACTTCCAGGCTTCATAGTTACCTGCCTGTACCCACTGTTGAGATCAATCGTGGAGAAGATGACAGCACCAGAGAGGGATTCCATCTCTTTCTGTGATAGAGTTCACTTTACGATAGTCCACACAGAACCTCATACTGCTATCTTTTTTGGGGACAAGGACATTAGCCGCATTTCCACTATCGGCCAGTGCGAGCCAGGGCTTTAATCGGGCCGGGCAAATAGCCCGGGAGGTTTAGAAATGAGGCCGAAATCATGTCGCGTTTCCACTGTCGGGCTAGTAGCTCACAGCGCGTCACGCAAACACCGCCCACAGAACGTCCGCGAATCAAACGTCACACAACCCGCCCACTTCAGCGGGAATCAGGACAGGCAGATAAAGCACACCATAGAATTATCACAAAACGAAACCATTAAAATGAAGAAAACCGAAACAAACAAATGACACGTTACTGTACAGCAGTACATGAAATGTCTATACGCACAGACCTGTGTATTTCCATTCATTACATTTGTTTACTCGCCGACCGACTGTTGGCATTGTGCATCGAGTGCTCTCGCCACTAACAGAGGGAACCAACACAGAGAGCGCACACATCCATAATATAAAGCCACAGAAATTCTCCTTTATAACTCGATATGGCATGTATTTTATAACATCCTCGTTTTGATAGACGTCGTGTTAAGTGTTTTACAGCACAAGAGCGAGTAGCCTATTAAAATATAGCCATATTTGTTGCGTTCAGCAGCTATTCACTAAAGCTCTTCATTTAAAGTTTCATTTATAAATTTAACCAGGTCATATAAAAAACATAAAAAGTTGTTTGAGGATATAGAACACATTTTGTGTTTGGACTTTCCCCCGATGCGCTTAAAGCAGTGAGCGCTGCGCAGGACTGAGTGACAGAAAAAAAGGTGTAGGCTAGATTCTGCTTTCACTCACCGAAATAATGCTCTGTTTGCGCTATTTGATTAATATCATCGCATCCAAATACTTAACGTAATTTGTTAAGTTTTATGTCTTTCTGTTGTATTTATATTGTGTATTATCTCCAAAATAAATAAAGAAAAAAGCCACTCGTGGCATAACAGAGCTGTGAAGGAGCGCTCTTGCCCGGTCTCACACACACATACAGGCATCTAAACGCGCACAAACAAACATTTTAAACTTGACAAAAACTCTCGAAAACCTTTACTGTTTGCTGTGTCTTTAATATGGTGTAAAGATTATTATGCGCTATTGAAACAAAGGAGGACGCAGCAAAAAACGTCACTATAAAATAAAACTACTTTATTATTTTATGCAGCAGCCTTACATTTAAAAGGGAAACATAAGGGTGATCATACGCAAAAAGACCCCAGACTATAAGGCCAGATGTTTTCTTTCCCTTATTTCTTTATTTGTTTGGTGCATGTACTCATGTGCAATCAGAAAACTGCTCGCCTCTCCTTTCACTCCGCCCTGAAGCCCCAGCTGGCCCTCCTTGGCCCAAGGTATTTGGCGGACCGAAAAAGGCTGGCCGCTGGCCCCAAGAAAGCCCCGCTTTGGCCCGATTAAGCCCCGGAACCGACAGTGGAAACGTCACTGGCCTTGGCTCGCTCGCTTTAGGCGCGATAGTGGAAATGCAGCTAATGCGTGAGGCCCACGCTAAGTGTGTAGGTTCTGTGAGGCCATTCATTAGCATTTCTTTGACTTGCTCTTTAACAATCTCTTGCTTCTCTGGTGTTAAACGGTATGGATGTTGTCTGATCAGCACAGGGAAGTCAGTATACAAGCAGTGCTGTAGAACAGTTGTTCTTCCAAGCTGGGAGGTACATACTTGTGGATTCTGCAGAAGTAGATGATGTAACTGGCACTTTACTTCCAGATGCAGGTGAGATTGATCAACTAATGCTTTTCATTAGTGTCTTGTCATCCCTATTATCTGG